GAAGAGAGACATTATTGTCTTAGAATAATAGATTTGTAAGCAAATCTTTTCTGGGATTGTCTCCAGGGAGGGAGACATTCTCTCCCTTTACTGTCCTGGAATGGAAATAAATCTGAGCACACTGACTGTTACTGTCTAGACATTAAGAAACATGAGAGATTTATGGAAAATTATCTCTGACTAGGAGGCTAGAGCCCATCACACACAACCACAAAGAATAATGATATGAAATGAATGAAGAGTGGTATGAAATCGATGGATAAGATGACAAAGACACATTATACGTGCATAACTGAAGTCCCTGAAGAGGAGAAGCAATGGATCAGAAAAAAAGTTCAGCAAAATAAAACTTCCCTGAAATAAAAGTCTTGAATCACGACTGGAACAGCTCACTATAATCCAGTTAAAATTAGTTCACAAAAATCAAGACTAAGATGTATGCTTCTCAAGATCCTTAAGTTCAAGCATAAAAAAAGAATCATGTGGCAGAAGTGTACAAGAAAAATAGGGAGTAGGTTAATCTTCAACTTCTCAATGGCATCACTCAATTTTAGAAGAGTAATGTTTACCAGGTTCTCAGGAAAAGAAAGTATAACTTTAATAATCGGGGTTCAATTGAGGCAGTAGATTCATTATGAGTATTATGGAATAAGGAATTTTTTATATGAATTAGATCATGCAAAATTGTGAGAGTAGCTGGGGAAGTAAAGGTATGGAAAGGGAAGGGGAAAGATTAGACAAGTCACTAAACCAGCCCTTTGGAAAAACTGTCATGGATGGATAAGTCAGAGTTTGCAAGAAAATCTGAGAAGCCAGGCACTTACAGCTGCTTAAGTGAGACTGTGAGAAGGGAGCTGATGGAGAAGTCTATGAAAAGCTGTTGCCTTTGTAGGCCTGCAGCCAGGCATCCGATGGCCACTGGTGGTCAGCAGGGCTCGGAGATAGAAAGCTGAATACAGAGTAGAAGTGAGTGAGGAAAGATTAAGACCTTCTGGGTATCTCTGCGTCTGCCCTTCACTGCATCTAATCTCAAAACTTTTGGAGTAATAGTTGCTCCTTCACTTTGACTTCCCAAATCTCATGCAATTTCTGCTTCTGGCCAGTTCTAACCTGGAGTCACACAGGATTCTTGAAAACAGATTTCTTAGTATAACCCAGACAACAGTAGAGCGATGCAGCCCAATAACCTAAAAATGATTTTTACTATTGGAAAAATTTTGTGGCGAAATATCATCTGAGTTCAAAATTTCTAACTTTGTTCAGTTGTTTTCTGTAATTAAATTTACTTCTAAAATAAGACTCACCAAAGTTAATAATGACCTCCTTGTCGCAAAATCCAAGAACCAGTTTTCCATCCTCGTGTGAACTGACCTCCAGTCTGTCAGTTCCTCTAGGGAAACACTCATTGGAAATACTCTTTTCTCTCTGAGCCCCTTGCTCACCTGGTATGTTTTCACCTCTCTGGCTGCTCCTTCTCATTATCCTCTGTAAATGAATCCTTGGCCCTGTCCTCAAATGTCGATAGCACAAGCCTTAGTCCTAGACCTGCATTTCCTGTTACTCCATACATTTTCTTTAGGTAGTTGGATGAGACTAAGACACCACAGACAACTCTCAAATCCTTCCCAAGAATAGAGAATGGAAGGGGGGAACTTGCCAGGATCAGGAAGTGGGGTGTGTCTAGTATTAATCAAGAGCTTCTCCCCAAGTATAGTTCTAAGTGCTTTACACAGGTTAAGTGCATTCACTTCTTAGTATGAGTAATCATGCATCCCCCAAAGATATGTTGAAGTCCTAACCCCCAGTACCTCAGAATGTAAACTTATTTGGAAACAGAGTCTTTATGGAAGTAATCAAATTAAAATGAGGCCAGTAGAGTGGGCCTGAACCAATATGACTGGCATCCTTATAAAAAAGGGAAAATTAGACACAGAGACAGATATGCAGAGGGAACACAATGTGAAGACACACAGGAAGAGAACATTTGTGTGACTGGAGTGATACACCTACAAGCCAAGGAATGCCTGAGACCACCAGAAACTAGGAGAGAGGCATGGGATAATTCCTTCTCTAGCCCCTGAAGAGGGAGTGCGGCCCTGTTGGCACCTTGATTTCATACTTCCAGTCTCCAGAACTGGGAGACAATACATTTCTGTTGTTTTCAGACCCTCAGTTTGTGGTACTTTATTACAGCAGCCCTAGGAAGTTCATACACTTCTCACGTCAACTCTAGGAGACAGGTACCAGTGTGAATATCCTTTATAGCTGAAGACATCAGGATAGAGAGGTTAACTAACCTGCCCAAGGTCACATAGCTAGTAACTGGTAGAGCCGAGGATTGAAACCCTAGCCAACTGGCTCCTGAGCCTATCTACCTAACCACTATGCAAATTGCCTCTTAATATTTTGAAAAGCATTGCTCCTAGGGACAAAAATGTTGAAAAGGGTGTATGTAAATCAATCTTAATGTGCAAATGGTTGAATCAGTTATTGCATATCCACCCCATGAACTATCATGCAACCATTCAAAAAGATACTGGGAAGTAATAAAGCAAGAAGCAGAGATGCATGACATGATCCCATATTTGAAAATCAAGGAAAAAAACAATCCTTATGTAGTTGTTGATTATAAGCATGGAACGTATGTCTGTCTATATATAATTATGAGCACAGATTAAAACATGAATGTGTTCATAGGAGTTAATTAGTCTTGGTTATCTGTTGGGGGTAAATAGTGGAGGACATTCAGTAAATAATAAATGTATTAGTTAGCTTTTTCTAGGTAACAAGCCGCCCAAAATTTAGTGGCTTAAAACAATCCATATTTTAATCTGTGATTCTGTGAGTTGTCTGGGATAGGTGGGATGGATGGCAGAGCTTTCCTAGTCTGGGCCAGTGTATTACTAATCTTTTACTATGTAACAAGTTACCCTAAAGTTTAGCAGTTAAAAACAACAAACATTTATTATCTCACAGTTTCTGTGGGTCAGGAATTCAGGTGAGGCTCAGAAGGTTGCCTCTGGCTGAAGGTCTCTCATGAAGTTGCAATCAAGATGTCACCTGGGGCTGTGGTCTTATTTGAAAGCAAGACTGGGAGAACTTGCTCCCAAACTCACTCGTGGGTCTCCCCCAACAGGGCTGCCTCATGCTTCCCCTTGGGTGAGCCATCTGAGAGTGAGAGAGCATCCTAAATGGAAGCCATGGTCCTTCTGTAACCTAATCTTGGAAGTGATGTCACATTACCTCTGCCTCATTCTATTTACTAGAACCAGGTCACTAAATCCAGCCCAAACTCAAGGGAATGGAATTACACAAGAGTGTGGCTACCAAGAGATGGGGATCATGTAAGGTCATCTCAGAGGCTGCCAACCACAGTGGGCTCGGATGTGGTTAGATGGATAGAATAGCTTCATTCACATGTCTGGCAAATGAAATCTGGTTGGTCTAGGGCACCTCAAATGGGAAGTTTCATCTCTGCTCCATCATTGCTCCATTAGGTCTCATCCTCTAATAGCATAACCCAGGCTTTTTCACACTTGGGTTCAGGATTTCAAAGGGCAAGAGTGGGCAAACTTCAATGCAAGCACTTCTCAAGCCTCTGCTTGTGTCATATCTGCTAATGTCCTGTTAGCCAAAGAAATGGCCAAATCCAGTTTCAAGGGTTGGAGAAACAGACTCTACCTCTTGGGTGAAATAGCAAAGTCATATTGAGAGGGGGCATATATTCTGATGGAAGTGGCCAAAGAGGATCATCCAGACCTCTGGATTCTGGCTGGAATGTAGACATCCAGAAAAAGCTTAGCTGCCATTTTTATAGTGAGGAAAAAAAACTATGTAATCTACAAAATCATAACTTTTCTTGAACTCATTAGAGAGCTAAGATTATAGAGCAACCACCTAGCTTGATAAATGCCTCAAAAGATACAGGGAGTTATCACTGGGTCACCCGTGGCAGGGCAGGAAGGAAGATGGGTCCACCATACCAGGAGTAAGAATTCAGCAAGAATTTTAAATAAATTTCTAAAGCCTAAGTGTGGGAGAGTGTGAGAATATAGGACCTCTGAGAGCTGGAGACCTAGGGGTAGTTGACTCCCACTTGCAGGTTCTTCTCACAGACCTCCATTGGGTGCTCACAAGAAACACTGGAGGTAGGGTAGGGTGGGAGACTGGAGAAAGCCCCTCTCAGGGTGCAGGTCTGCCCAGGGACACCTGCTGATACAGAAGTGGCACAAAGCCCCAATGGGCCCCTACTCCCTTACAGAACAAATGCCTTAAGGCACTGGGGGAAGTGAAGGAAAACTTGTTGCTCTCCACCCCACCCCCTCCACCAACCAGGACATAGGTGAAGATCCGCTGCAGCTAGAAGAAAGGGAAAGGAAAAAAAAATCTACTCATGGTGGAAGTGCAGGAAACCATTCCAGGGCCCAGACCATTAAAGGCCTTATACCAATGGAGAGGGCAGGATCACTGAAAAAGCCTCACGCTCAAGACCTAGGGATACAGGACCTGCCTAAGACTGAGACTGACCCAGGACAGCTCCTGCCCCTGCCCCCAGCTCATCAGGTCACGAAGACCCAGGTAATAATACAAGTTTATTACTAAGGGAGAGGCAAGAGCATGGAGAGAGAGATTCTGAGATGCAGACACATGAAAAAGGCCTAAAGGCAAGGGTGCTGCATGAATATAGGGAAAAGTTCTCTGGGAAACCAGTGCCTCTCCTAAGCACATAGTAACACTAGAGAAATTTGAAGTCACTGGCACACCAAAGGTAAAGAGAGCAACAACAAAACCTAAACCCAGTCCAAATCCTGACTAGATGGACTCGATCTCCCTATGCTAATGACCTATAAGGAAAGCAGCCATGTCTATTCTCAGGAATAAATATTTACGTCAGCTTCTATTCTCTGATATAGAGCAACTGACATTCGGCCAAAAATTAGATGCAAAACAGCAAGAGAAAACAATACACTGTCAAGAGAAAGCAATCAACACATCCAGACTCCCATTGTTGGAACTATCAAACAGATAATTTATTTTTTTTTAATTTTTTAAAAAGTGAAAGCAAATTTATTTAGGGAGATACAGACTCTATGGACAGACTGCGGGCCATCTCAGAAGGCAAGAGAGGCGGCCCACACAGAAAACTTAAAATAAAAGTGATTAATATATTAAAGAGGGTAGTGGAAAATGTAAACCACAGGTATGAACAGATGGGGAATTTCAGCAGAAAGATAAAAACTCTATGATCCAAATGGAAACACTAGAAATAAAAAGAGAACATAACTGAGATGAAGAATGCCTTCAATGGGTTTATCAGTAGACCTGACAGAGCCAGGGTAGGGGTTAAAATCTGTGAACTTGAAGATAGGCTAGTAGATATTATCCCAACTGAAAAACAAAGAGAAAAATAATGTTTGAAAACAGGCACACATATAGGGATGGAAAATTGTAGCATTTTCTATCTAACACAGTCTATCTTCTGGTCACAAATTATTTACATTAGCACACCATGCAAAACATGTACACTCCCTTCCCAAGACCTCTAGATATCTATCCCAAATTATGGCATCAGGCTCAAATCCAAGACCTTAAGTCTTCTATATCAGGTTCAGATATGACTGAGGCTCTCTGGGTGTAGCTTCTCAGTTTCTTGATCCAGAGACCTGTGAGTTAATTGACAAGTCATATGACCACCCCCCCACCCAACACACACACACACACACACACACACACACACACAAATATAAATACAATAGTGAGATAGGGACAGGATAACTGCAATAGATACTCCCTTTCAAAAAGGGAAGGAACAAGAGGCACATATCAGTCACTGTTCCATAACAATTCTGAAATCCCACAGACCAAATGTTGTCAGGTCTCCCTGGTCCAGGGGCAAATGATGTTTCTTGCTTAGGTCACAGTTCTACCTGCGAGTGGCTTCGTGGCCCATTTTAATCCCTTGTTCTTGGGTCTTCTCTCTGAGATGGCCTTCTTTTCCCATAAGAAATGGCCCATGTTTGCAGCTGAGTAATTTTCTCAGTTTGCTTCCTGTTCACAGAAGTTAAAGACGGGAGTCCAGAAGCCACTTTTCATTTTGGACTGTTTCAGTCTCTTTAAGTCCAACCTGGAGGTAGTTTCGCTAGTAAAACTCTATTAAAACTGTTACAGGTTTCCTACGAATCTGTTAGTCCATGTCCCAAATGCAACATCAACCATTCTTTTTAAGACAGGCCCCTCTCGATTTTGAGTAGTGGGTTGGGCTACTGAGGACAAAGTTGAAAAGTTTTTAGAAGCTGTTCAGCTTAGCTGAGAGGGTTTCCCAAACGCCAACTTAAATATTTCACACATTTTAACAAAGGGTCTCACAGCCACATGCATAATTTGATCTCTGCCCTGAGGCCATTTTTTTTCACCTTGAGAATATTCTGATGGTTGGAAAGACTGGATATGTAAAGCAGTTATTTTTGAACAAAGTTAAGTCCTGGCCTTTTTTTTTTGTATTTCTTCTTAATTCTGCTTGCAAATGGAAGTTGTTTACTGAGTTCATATTTTTCTTTCTGTACCTTATCATATGCAGCTAAAATGAGCAAACTGATACTTCCAGCATTCTGTTGGAAATCTCTTTAGCCAGATCCACAAGTTCATTTGGTACATCCTTAGTTTTTCCACAGAGCATGGTGACTGTTTTGCTATCTTTTCCTTACTAAACAACATAAACTGCCGTCTTTTCCAGCCTTTCTTAACAATTTTCTTCATTGTTTTTCCAGCCTCCACCTTTCACCCAGGCCCAAAGCTAATAATGCCGTGTCTTATGTTTTGATACAATACCCCCAGTATGCGTACAATTTTAGGTACTACTCAGCATTTGCTGTGCAACAGACTACCCCAAAACTTAGAAGCTTAAAACAGTAATCATTTTATCTCGTAATTCACTGGTTGGGATAACTGGTGTGGCTCTTTTGCTGTGGCTGGGGCTAGAGGTCAAGGAAGGCCTCACCCCCATGTCTGGCATTTGGTCTAAGGAGCCTGAGGTGGGCTGGCTCATCTCCGCTCCATGTGGTTTCTCAATCTTCAGTAATCTGAGCTTCTTCACATGAAAGTTTGAGAATTCCAAAGGGCAGCAGGAGAGGGTAAGCCTCAAAGCAGGCTTTTCACACTTCTCCAGCATCTTCTTGAATCTCTTTGCTAATGTACATTGGCCAAAGCGAGTCACATGGCCAAGCTCAGAGTCAAGGAGTAGAGAGAGACAGCCCTACCTCTTAAGAGAAACAAGAGTAACATTACAAAGGAGTGTGCATAAAAGGATGGGAGAGATCTGTGGCTATTTTGCATTGTACCACAATGAAAGAAGATAAAAACATGATGTCATGGAAACCAATATGAATGACAGGATTATATTTATGTGCTCGTGTAAAATTGTATTTGCAGATTTGTGTATATATAAAACCATAATGAAAAAAACTATAATGACTTTATGGATTCATGTGAGAGAAATATTCAGCAGGAAACATATTCGATAGACAAGATTATATTAAATTAAAAAACTTCAATTCAATTATTCCTTCCATTGTGTAATGTTTTCTGCTACAAAAACACTCCACAGAACTGAGAGCACATAAACATATTTTGTTGTCCTATCTTTCATTTTGTTGACATTTTAAATTGCTTAATATAACACAGTAAACATTACTGTCATTTATATAATTTTGCACACTCCTTGTATAACGAATTGGGCAATGGTGCCTTATAATACTTTCTACAGGAAGGTTTTTCCTAATGCATCAAGCTGATTTTCCAGTATGAATTCTATTATATTTTGTGAGTCTGTGCAAATATGGAAATTTCCCTTCATTCAGTGCATTCTTAGAGTAATTTTTCTCATCTCAGGTGAGAGAGCTTGATGAATGCTTTTTATTATGCAAGGTATTCATATAGGATTTTGGTTGAATTTTATAAAACACACTTAGACCTGACTGCTATGATAAAGGTTTTCTCACTTGCAAGAAACAGGGTTACTTTCATGTATGAATATTGCGATGCATACTCAGAACTGATTTCTGAGTGAAGCCCTTTCCACAGTCACTACATTTATAGGGTTTATCTCCAGTATGAATTGTCTGGTGTTTATTGAAATTTGACCTGTCAGTGAAGGCTTTCCCACACTCTGCACATATATATGGTTTCTCTCCTGTGTGAATTCGTTGATGTACTTTGAGATGTGGTTTCTTGGAGAAGGATTTCTCACAGTCAGAACATTTATAAGGCTTCTCTGTGGTATGAATTCTCTGATGTGTAATTAACTCTGACTTCTGGATGAAGGCCCTTCCACAATCAGCACAAACATAGGGTTTCTCTCCAGTATGAATTGTCTGGTGTTTATTGAAATTTGACCTGTCCGTGAAGGCCTTCCCACATTCAGCACATATATAAGACTTCTCTCCAGTATGAGATTTCTGGTGAGTATTGAGATTTGACCTATTGGTGAAGGCCTTCCCACAGTCAGTGCATATATAGGGTTTCTCTCCTGTGTGAATTCGCTTATGCATCTGGAGTTGTGATTTAGAAGGGAAAGACTTCCCACAGTCACTGCATTCATAAGGCTTCTCTCCAGTATGAATTCTTTGATGTGCAATCAAGTGTGCCTTTTGGATGAAGGCCTGCCCACATTCAGTACATACATAGGACCTCTCTCCTGTATGAATTCTCTGATGCATTCTGAGTGTTGATTTTTGGGTAAAGGCTTTCCCACACTCACTGCACTTGTGGTGTCTCTCTCCAGTATGAATTTTCTGATGTACATTGAGGGCTGAGTTCAGGGAGAAGCCTTTCCCACATTCACTGCACTCATAAAGTTTTTCTCCAGTATGGGTTGTCTGATGCCTCAGTAGAGATGACACTTGGAAAAATGATTTTCCACATTCACTGCATTTATAGGGTTTTTCTCTAGTATGCATTTTCTCATGCAAAATTAATTCTGAATTCTGGATGAACGCCTTCCCACATTCAGAACATATATAGAGCTTTTCGTCTCTATGAACTCTCAAATATATACTGAGTAGTGGCTTCTGTGTAAAAACATTTACACATTTGCTAAGCTCATGAGGTTTTTCCATAGAATGAATTCTCTGAGGTGCGAAGAGGTGTGACCTCTGGGTGAAGATCTTCCCAAATTCAGTACACATATTTGCTTTCTCCCCAACAGGAAATTTCAGATTGTGACCAAGCGCTTGTTTGAGGCTGAAGACTTTTCCATGCTGATTGCTGTCACAGAATTTCACTCCTGTATGCGTATTTTCATGGTTAGTATAAGAAGAGCTCTGGGTGAAAACCTGACCATGTCCAATAATCTTATCAAAGTTCTTTGCTGCACTGTTTTTACTATGAATATGTAAATCTAAATTATGCTTTAAACTCTTTCCAAATGAGTCACGTTTATGAGGTCTTTTCTGTGAAAGAATATGATTTGGGCCTGGATGAACAAATTTTCCACTGTCTTTATATTCATAATCCCACTCTGTATTCAATATTTTCTTATTGATGAAAGCAGCAGGATTCTGGTTTCCCTGATAGCTCTTTATCTGTTCAGCATCTTGCCACAGTTCTTCTAAAATGGAATACAATGAATCATCCCTTGTATCTTCACCCTCCATTTCACTATGAAATGAAACTTTTCCAGAAATTCTTTTTTGTGAGGTCTTAATCCCAAACTTCCCATCTAAAAAGAGAAAGAAAAAGTAAAATTGACACAAAGAATAGATAGCAGAAGATTAAAAGTTACACATAAGCTAATTCAAATGGAATACAGGGAAGCTAGTTACATTTGATGACGATGATGATGACAATGATGACAGGAAAAAAAATATACATAGCCCTTACTATGTGTCAAGCTCTTGCATGACACTTACAATGTTCCAGGCATTGTTCTAAGAAACATATACATATGAACTCATTTAATCCTTTAAAAAGTCCTATGTTTTCAATTATTATCCACGCCCATTGTAGATAAGGAAAGTGAAGTTCAGAATGATTGTCTATATATGTATGGATCCTTCCCTTCTCTCCCCCCTCCCTCCCTCTCTCTCTATCTATATCTATATCTGTATCTATACACATACACATATATAGTTATTCAGTATTGGAGATTGGAGTTTAACATAAGAATCTAGCTTTATTTTGATAAGTGATATCAAGTAGGGTGGACAAAAAATTAAACAGACAAGGGTTTTAAAGAGAAATATCTGTGGAGAGTCTAGGCTTGAAAGGGGTAACTCAGAGTCTAAGTCCTCATTGGCTTTCAATTTTAAATCCTCACTGATCTCGCTGCTTCTTGCTTATGAGCAACAATATCAAATTAATGATAAAAAAATTAAATTTACTAAGAGAGTAGATCCTAAAAGTTCTCATCACAAGGAAATTTTTTTTTCTTTTTCTTTTGGAACTATAAGGTATGGATGTTAATGAAACTTATTGTGGCAATCATTTCACAACATATGTTAAGTCAAGCCATTATGCTGTACATCTTAAACTTATACAATGCTGCATGTCAATTATACCTCAGTAAAACTGAAAAAAATTTATTCATGCCTATGGGAAAAATATTGTGGTCAGAGCCATATTGACCTATACAAACAATAAATGGATGTCTATACTCCAGTTCTCCAACCAGGTGTAACTGTTTTCTTGGAACTAAAATTATATATACCTAACAAGAGCTACAAAATCAGAGAGATGACAAGCCATCTGTAGTAGATTGAAAGCTGTCCACTAGAACCTGTTTCGCCATTTTTTTGCATTAAAAGAGTAGTAGCCAGGCACATGGCTGCCCAGTCATATATTTCTCAGCCTCCTCTGAAAATTTGTGTGGCCATGTGACAATGTCCTCAACAGAATGTGAGAGAAAATGATGGGTGCTACTTTCAAACCAGAGCATTGAAACGGTGGGCATGTTTTCTCTATGCCCTCTCCCATCTCCTTGCTTACTAAAAGTTGGACTTGGTAGCAACATAGATTCAAACATGCAGATGCCACACAGAATCCAAAAGAGGGTGAAGTTGAGTAATGGAAGAAACCTGGATACACGAATAAGCATCAGCAACTAGGTTTTCCAATGGCCTGTGATATTAGAAACTTTATCTAAGAGAGAAGTAAAATTCTTTATTTAAACCACTGTATTTTATTACTGTGAATTAGCTTAAATGCAATACACCATTCTTGCCCAGAGTGGGAATCACAGATGTTTTCCATTACCAGTACAGTGCATGAGACATATTACATTCTCAATAATAATTTTCAAATGGAAAAATTATACATTATCTTATCAGCAAGAGGTTTTAGATACTGAAAATGCTCTGAGGCATCAAATCCAGTTTTCCCATTAGTCAGTTTGATACTGCACTCCGACGCATGTCCCATACAAAACCTCATCCTCTTATACTTAAGTTGCATTTCATTCTCATACATTTGGCTTTAATTTATTCTGAAGTTATTAAACCCTGGATTCCTAAGCTTGGTTTTGGAAGTGGCTTTGTGTTTCACTTTATTTAACACTTAAATATATATATAATATATAATTTAAAGATAAAACTTAACTTCTAAACCCCTGCTGTACTGGACAATATTTATATCACCAGCACGAATATTCATGGTAAGAAATCTGCTCTTGCAATAAAAAGCTTCTTTACACCTTTCCTGAGCCCACAGATTCTGTGAACAGTACATAAATGGAGAGTCATCAGTCTAGAAAGAGTTGTGCATGCAAGCTAGCATTCTCTTTGCCACTCCAAAAAAAAAGTGCCTCACAGAAGTCCAATTTATTCCCAAATAAAGACACGTTCATATCCTCTTCTTCCATTCAGCCTGCTCAGCATCGTCTTTTGGGCCACTTAAAATGTATGTGTCCTTCATTAAGTGGTTTAATAGTCTTTTACTTTAAAATTTAACCTGATCATATTGCTAGTGAGACGTTTTCTGAACTTCAAAAGCAGACACTCTCTGTGCTACTCATTTTGTTCGTCATTTTAACAGACTGCTATTATAATGGAAATAATGCACAGAGAGTAAATTTTTAAATATTTGATGCCATTGTCCTTACTTTCTAATTACAATCTATGTTCCACTGAACTTTTCTCAGCACAATTTTTAAAAATCCTTCTGGAATAGAGCAAAATACTCAAATGTTTATCCCCTACAAATTTGATTAGTTAATACTGGTAAGTAGTTTCATCGTGCTTAGCATTTGAATAATAAAAATAAGACACAGGCTCTTATTTTCAGAGACTTTCAAAATTCCTAGAGGCAGAAGCATCTGAGGGATGGGGGAAAAGAAATGGAGAATAGCAGTAACTCTGGAGTGGGTAAGGGCCATTTAATGGTCTGGATGATAACCTGAAATGAAACAAAATACAAGTGTCTATTGCCTAGATAGGCAGAGCACAAAATAATAAAGAGTCTACATGCTGAGACAAGCTTCATATTTGGTAGGCACTAAAGACAAGGTGAAAACTTGAGGAAAGTATGAATTAAGGAAAATATACAGATACAACTTTACCTGGAAATAAATGGCCATGTTGTACATGGCACTGAGAAGAGCTATTGGTCACATATGGAAGAAATGCAAATTTACTTCATAAAATTAATGGCAAAGATAAATGCAGTGTCTCAGGTAATGAAGTCTATTAACAGCATTTAAGATGAACTAGAAACAAGAATGGAATCTGCAAATCCCACTATGAACAGGATAATCCAAGCATAAGAAAACATAGACCTGCTTTTGGGTGATGCTACTAGGAGTTAAGATGAGAGGATATCTAAACAGTATTCTTTTAGAAAGAAAAAAAGAGGAATTGCAGAGTAATTAGTAGGAGAAGATAACTAAGAGGGAAGAAACAAGAAACAGCAGAATCTGACAAAATTTGGAATGTTGAGGATTCCTGATTTGGGCAGTGATGATGCCAATTACTCACATACTAAGGATGAATAAAGCAGAATACTCTATGAGAACTGTCTAATATGTAGGTAAGCGTGTACTAAAGCTTAGTTATAATATAGCAAATAGTCAATATGGAAGTCATCAGAATACAAATAAAAAGCTTAACTGTTCATATTGGAAAACTCTTTTGAGTTAATTACTATGGAACAAATATACAGAAGACAGTAAACAACATCCATAGCCAGGAGCATCTCAGTGAGGAGGAAGAGTTTCAATGGAAAAGGAAATAAGTAAATTAGGTACAAATCAAGAAGAGAAAAAATCGAGTATGTGTATGTATATGTATGACTGAAACATTAGGTAATACATCAGAAATTGACACATTGTAACTGACTATACTTCAATTTAAAAAAAAAAGAGAAAAAACCTGCATGGTTAGAGAAGATAAAGTAACAGGAATAAGCAATTCACAGAAGAGGAAACCCAAATTGATAACAAATATTAAAAAGCCACATTACATCGATTAGATTGGCCACAAAATGAGAAATCTGGATAATGCCAAGTGTTGACATAGATGTTGTGAATTTGGCACACTTGTGTACTGCATGTATACTCCAATGATCAAGCAGCACCATTCCCATATAAATATCCCCAAGGAATCATCTCACAGGCTCATAAGTGTATAAGAAATTATTCATTTTTATTGAGGTATAGTTTCTACCCAGTAAAGTACAGATTCTAACTGTAGAATTCAATTAATTTTTTCATATTATAGAGCCATGTAACCACTACCTAAATGAAAATACAAACTATCTTAATTATCTCAGAAGGTTTCCTTTTGGTCCTTCCCAGTCAATTACTGTCTTCCAGAGGTAACCATCATTCTCAGCATAGATCACAAATAATTTATCACTATAGATTAGTTTTGCTTGTCCTTGAACTTTATATAAATTGAACCATATAGCATGGACTCATCTATATGCCTGGCCTTTTTGCTCAACAATGTTTTTGAGGTTCATCCAAGTTCTTGTGTGTATCAGTAGCTCTTTGTTTTTCACTGCTGTGTAGTATCACATTATAAGAATATAGCACAACATTCGTCCACTCTCCTGTTGATGGACATGTGGGGTGTTTCATGTTTTTGACAATTATGCTAATGTTGATATGAACATTCCTGTACATTTTTTAGTGGACATTTGAGCTCATTTCTCTTAAATAAATGCCTAGAAGTGACATTTCTGGGATACAGGATAGCCATATATTTAGCATCAGTTGGTACTGTTTCCCAAAGTGACTGAAAGAATTTACATTACTACCATCAATGTATGGGAATTCCACTTACTCCAAATAGTCATTAACACTTGATATTGTCAAGCATTTTAATTTTACCCATTCTTCTGTATGTCTGCCTGTGTGTAGGGTTGTCTTATTATGGTTTTAATTTATATTTCCCCAATGAGTAATGATGTTCAGCACCTTTTCATATATATAATGATCATTTGGATACCTCTTTTTATTTTATTTTTTTTGGATACCTCTTTTTAAAAAGTATCTGTTCATGTCTTTTATTCATTTTTTTTCTACTCGGTTGTCTGCCTTTTACTTTTTGATTCATAAGAGTTCTTTATATATTCTGCATGACTGGGACATTATGCTGTACATGAGAAATTGACACATTGTAACCGACTATACTTCAATAAAAAAGAGCTCTTTATACATCCTGAATGCAAGTCATTTGTCCAATCTGTGTATTGCAGATATCTTCTCCAGTTTGTGGCTTGTCTGTT